CCCCCCAGGAGCTGAAGGGTGACCTTTGCCTGCTTCTAGCGCTCTGCTTTACAGTATTGGAAAAAGGTCATAAAAGAGACCCAAATCGCGTTGTATTTTTTAAAAATTTCAGCATATTCTCTGACGTTTCCCCCCCGCCCCGCCCCGGCTCCCCTCCCCAGCTGCCGGCCGGGGGGTGTCAGGGCAGTTCCCCATCCCCCGAGGGCTCTTCTTTGCTCTGGTCCATGGAGTCACTGTCGTTGCCCTCGGTGTCGGAGGCGGTGTCGGAGGCGGAGGGCTCGGGGCAGGCGCGGGCCGGCGTCACGATGACGGCACGTCTCTGCTCCTCTTCCTGCAGCTGCTTCTCCTGCGTCCCCTCGATGTGCTGGATCGCCTGCCGAGGGCAACCACCGCCCGTCAGGACATCGTGGGTCCCCCTCCGATACGTCCAGTGGGGTTTTAGGGACACCCTCCCCACACAAAAGCCTCCCCCCTGCGGTCCACCCTCCTTACCTGAACGATGGTGTCAAGGTTTTGCCGGGACGTGGAGACTGTGTTGATGACCGAGGACGGGCCCATGGTGACCACGGTGACGTGATGGGAGGGAGGCGGCGCTGGAACGATCACGGTGGGGTGGTGGGTGGGCGCTGGGGGAGCGTGTGATGGCAGGAGCTGGGGAGGGAAGCAAAAAAAAATAACAAAACCAACCCCAATCAGGAGAGATCTGGGCATGGCGGCGACGGGGAGAACATCACACTTCTTTGTGGACCCCAAACTCCTTCCAGAGCCCATAAGCAGCAGCTCGGCTGGTCCAGTTCACCCATCCCAGACAGACACGGGAGGATGGCAACCAAAAGCTGCCATCTCTTTAGCTTTGGCAGAGCCAAACGCCAAGGATTCCCCCTATCCCGAAGCGGGAAAGATTTGGGCTTTTTAAGGCAGGAGAGCCAAGTGCCAGCCCTCCCATCGCCTCCATCTGCGCAGCCGGGAACCCGCCGCACCCCTCGGAGATCCTGGTGGAAACAGCGGATGGGAAGATCCGCCCTAGCAGGAGGCTAAGGAGAGTTCACCTAAAAATAGGCTGAACTTCCCCGGGAGGTGGCCGGCAGGGATCCTGCAGGGATGCAGCTCGGCGGAAGCCAAAGGAGGGAGGAAGCTGGTTTTTCTCCCTCCCTTTAAAGCTCCCCAGGCTGAGCTGGAGGGTGGCAGGGAGCAAGGACCGGGTGCGAGCACCACGCTCGCCTCCTCGCCGCACCAGGCTGGCCCGAGGCTTCCCCCCACCGTTGGCAAATCCGACTGTGACTGAAGGCTCCCGTCCCTGCAGTCCCCCTGCCAGCTCACCCACTCCCCATTCCCAGCCTGGTGGGTGCCAGGGAACAGTTTGGGAGGGTCCCCAAAACTCAGCAGGAGTCGCCCAGTGAGAGGTGAACCCCAGAGATGGCGTTGGTCTCCGTGCTGCTGCAAACCACCCGCTGTGGCACGGGGAGTGTGACCTGCACAAAGCGCTGGCGGTGGTGCCATCACGACTGTGGGCATCACCCAGGGATGGGACAGATGCCCATTCATGGACCGAGGGCAAGGAAACGTGGCCAACAGGAGTCAGAGCAGGACCACGGCTCGCCAGAGTGGGAGCTGCTCTCCACCCGTGCCCAGTGGGGAGGGAGATGCCACCATGGGGTGGGGGCAAGTCAGGGGTAGCCACATTAAGCATCCTCCCAGCACAGCCTTGGAAAGCCATGAGCTTGCTAGAGCCAGGCTGAATCCCTGCCCATAAAAAACCCTCTGTGCCAGGGAACAGAGCTGCTTGGACACCACCACATCACAGTCCAAGCCACAACCAACTGAAACACGGGGTCTCCATAGCACAGCCCCCCGAGCACTTAGGGGGGGGTCTGTGTGCTGATCCTTTCCCAATTCCCTCAGGGTGAGAGCTTTGCTGAGACACCACTGTCCCTCCTGGCCAGTCCTAAGGGATGGGAGGTGCCAAGCACATCAATGAACTGCACCAACCCCCCGTGTTTCACCACCTGTGGGCCCAGCTGCACCTCTGGGGGGGGGAGTCACTGGGGTGTCCCTGTGGGTGGGCTACAGCGGCATCCGCGCACTCACCTGTGTTCGGATCTGCTGCTCACGCTCTAGCTTCTCCTGGTGCAGCAACCTCACCTGCTCCTGCTGCTGCTGGAGCTGCACTTGCTGAGCGATCACCTTCAGCTTCTCGGGGTACATGTGGGCCTCCAGGGAGCGAACCTGCCGGCCGAGAGAGCCCCAACACGTCAGTGGGGAGCCCAGCCTGCTCCCGGTATGGCAACCCCCCACCCCGCATCACACCAGGCAGGGTCCCCGTGGGGTGGGGAGGGCCCGTGGCCAAGTGTGGAGAAGAGGTGGCCGCAGCAGATGACCCGTTGTCCCCTGGGGGCTGCAGCACAGCCATGGCAGAGCCCACTAGAGGGCGAGCCCGGCCCGGGCATGGCCAGCGTGGTGCCACGCAGCGCCGCAGCCGCATCCGGCCCCGCACGGCCTCACCTGCTCCTCCAGCATCATGCGGACCGAGCGCTCCTTGTCCAGCTGCTGCCGGAGCTCGATCATCTCCCGCCGCAGGTCCTCAGCTTTCTCGTCCTCCCAGATGTCCGGCGAACCGATCCCTTCGTCTTTGTCCTCCGCCCGTCGCCGCTTCGGGGAGGAGCCGCTGAACTCCTGCCGTGGGGACGTGGTGTCAGGGGACAGGGACGAGCCCTGACGCCCTCCCCAGTATCTAGACCATGTCTGGGTGGTGCCAACCCCTCAGCCACCCCCCAGCAGGGAAGGGGCTCCCCAGGGACATTGGCAGCACCTGGGGATAGACAGGCTCCTGCGCCCTGTGTGTGCCCACTGTCCTGGTCCTCACCCTCCCAGCCTTGCGCAAGCCCGTTTCTCACACCAAGACACCCAGGGTGGCTGAACCAGGCCACCCCAGAGCCAGAGCTGCCACCAGGCTGTACCCCAAATGGAAAACGGGTCCCCAGCCCCTCTCCCCCTGCCAGATAAGGGGTGCCAGGTTGAACTGGGCTCCCCTGCCCAGCCAGGAAGGTGCAGAACATCTCCATCCCCCACTTTGTTAGGACAGAGGGTCTTGCCTGACACCAAGAACAGCAACAACACCCCCTCCATGGCCAACTGGGACTGTCCCATCCCATCCCATCCCTGGGGTGCACAGGCAGGCCCTACCTGGATGAACCGCTTGAGCTGGGTGTTCTGCTGCAGTAGCCGAGTCTTCTCCTGCTCCAGGGAGAAGATGTACTCGGCTGTCTGCTGGAGGATGGCCGCCTGCAGGAGAGCCAGGAGGGAGACGCTGAGGCAGGAGAGACTCTGGTGTCCCCCCAAGGTTCCCCCCACCCCGTGCCGATTCCCTCCCTGCCTGGGAGACAACAGCACCACTCCTCGCCCAGCCCCGGTGTCTCCATCCAAGGTTTGCTTCACTCCCAGGTCTCCCCTGGGTTCTCCACCATGGTGAACTTCCAGTTCACCCATCTCAGGAAGCCAACTGGCTGCTGAGAGCCCCCTCCTCGCCCCACTCCCCTCTGCAGTGGGGCCACCTCATCACCCGGGCATATGCCACCCTGCTCCTGGGGTATGGGGTGCTGTCACATGCACCCAGCCCACCCCAGGACACCAGGTTTGCGATGCACACCCACTCCCACCGAGGAGACCTCTCCAGGAGACACCTCCATCAGTGGATTAATACATGCAAATATCCCCAATTACTCTCCCTGCCCTGATAAGCACCGATGAAAACCTCTCCGTGCAGGACCAGCGCCTGCACCCCGCGTCATGGTGGCCCCGGTGACGTCCCGCTCACCTTGCTGAGCTTCTCCCCGTCCGTGTGTGGGATGAGGGTTTTCAGAGACTGGAAGCCAGCATTGATGCTCTGCATCCGCCGCCTCTCGTTGCTGTTGGCGATTTCCCTGCGTATCCGACGCTCCTGGTCCCGCTGGGTCTCCGGAGTCAAGGGGATGTTGGCCAAGCTGCGAGAGAGGCACGGGGTTAGGGAGGAGGGGACTGCACCCCTGCTGCCCCCCACCCTGCCCCCCCATTGCTTTGCAATCACAACGCCGAGCCACCAAAGGGATGGGAAACACGGAGGAGATGATGGTGAGCACGGAAGCGGGTGGGTGGGTTTCTCCAGCCCCATATCCAAAGCTCCAGGGGATGCATCGACCGAAGGGTGGCCCTGGAGAACTCGGACATGGGCTGCCCAACACCAGCGCCGATGGCAAGCCCGGGCGAGGGGAGTGGAGGGGACAGGGCAGGGACCCCCGGGTGGGCGAGGGAGGCTGTAGGTCGGCCGGCTGGGTCCCCACAGGGCCGGCCGGCGTGTGTGGCCCCGGGAAGGCGGCTCCCTCCCTCCCGCCCCGCTGATGGCTTCCAGATGACAGCTCCCAGCAGAGAAGCCCCCGTCCCACCCCAAGCCGCAGCTCCCGCCTGTTTCCTGCCGCCGCCTCCTCGCCCCCCGCGCCCTCGCCCCACAGATGGGCCGGGAAATGCCTCCCGGAGCCGGAGACGCCGCCGGCAGCAAGCGGGGATGGTGGCGGGGAGGGCTTTGGCCAGCCAAGGCCAACACCTGTGGGTCCAGGGCACCCGAGCAAAGCCCACCACTGGCCGTGGGGGTCCAGCTTCTTCACCCACACCCCGCTTCTTCCCTGAGACAGCCCAGGGAGCAGGGCAACCGAATCTGGGTAAGGATTCTGCATCACAGGGAGCCCACCAGGCAGTGGCCAGCACCGGCAATTAATTAATAAGCCAAGGGCTGGGGTGATAGCTGCTTGTTAGGCCAAACCAAGGTGACTGGCAGCCCCTGCCATGCTGCTGGCCATCCCGTTGCCACCAGCAGCCACTCTCTCCAGGGTGCAGGCAAGCACCCAGCACCCTTTGGCTGCAAGTCAAGTGGCCGGCGCCAGGGATGCGGCGAGGACCGAAGACTAAACACACGGGCCGGGCTGACGGCACGAGGAGAGATAAGATGGGCTTTGGCCTCTCCCCCAGGTACCCAGCGGCTCCGGGATGAGGAGATGGGACTGTCCCACCTTGCCAGCACTGGGCTTTTCCTGCCCTCCTGGCGAGGCCATGGAGGAACCACAAAGGTTTCGGAGCCCTGGGGTCAAAATGGCAAAGCCAAGGGCTCTGAGATACATGGGGACAGGGAAAGATCCCAGCTCAGCCTAGAGGGATGGGGAAGGATCCCAGTGCATACCAGGGAAATGTGGAAGGATCCCAGCTCAGCCCAAGGGGCTAGGAAAGGGATCCCAGCGCATCCCAAGGGGACAGGAAAGGATCCCAGCTCAGCCCAGAGCCATGGGGAAGGATCCCCACTCATCCTAGAGGGATGGAGAAGGATCCCAGCTCAGCCCAGAGCCATGGGGAAGGATCCCCACTCATCCTAGAGGGAGGGAGAAGGATCCCAGTTCAGCCCAGAGCCATGGGGAAGGATCCCCACTCATCCTAGAGGGAGGGAGAAGGATCCCAGCTCAACCCAGGGGGCCAAGAAGATGTTTTCCCAAGGCAGCATCCTGGGTTTCCTGAGGCTGGTGCTGAGCACCCACTGCACCAGATCCCTCCTGTGCAGCTCCCAATGGGCGTCCCGGGGGGCACGGAGCTGGGGTGGGTGCCTGGGGGTCTGCCCCACTCACAGGGAGCAGCTGTCTGCCACATGGAGCAAGAGCTGGGATGGTGAGATGGTGGCACAGGGTTCCCATCCAGTGGTGGCCATCGCCTGCCTCCCTGCTCCTGCCAAAATCCAGCCCCAAACTCATCCCCCAAACATGCCAACGCTGGCAGGTCTTGGGGACGCCATCCCTTTGTATGGGCAGGGTCTGTCCCCTGGCACAGCCACGTCTGGCGGGGACAGGGAGGTGGCCACTCCGGGATGTCTGACCACCAGCCCTGGCCACTCAAGGGGAATGGGACAGAGAGGCCCAGGACCGGGCAGCGCGGAAGCGGTTTCTTAACTACCAGGGAAGGAGGAAGAGCCTGCTTCCTCACCGGCAGAGCTCCCGCAACCTGCCCCAGCAGCTCTTCCTGGGGAGAGACCCAAGAAGTGACAGCTACAGGCGGAAAGGGGGAGAAGAAACCATGGATTCAGAAGCTGGCCCGGCACCCAGCGCCACCCAGGACGGGGCAGGACAGAGGTGTGGGGAGCAGATGGCACCTACCGGAGCTCTGGCACGGCAGAGAAGCCCCCAAGGCACCCCCAGCCCCATGTCAGTGCCGTGGGGTCTGGGTCGGGCAAGTAGAATTTGGTCCACCCTGTTCTGGTGGCGTGGCAGCCCCTGGCACAGCCCAGTGGGGATGTCACACCGGCCCAGACCTCAAGGGAAACAAACCCACGGGGGTGTCGGAGCCGCTGCTGCTGCCCGGTGAGGAGGCTGGGGGCTCAGTGGGGCCGTGGTGGGTGCCCCACTCTGCCCACTCCTGTCTGCCACTGCCCACAACCAGTGCTCTGGTTCGTGCTGGTGGGCAGAGGGGGCATGGGTGTCCCTGAGGTCCTTGAGGTCACAGGCAAAGGTGTCCCTGAGCTCACAGTTAGGGTATCCCCGAGTTTGCACGAAGGGCATCCCCCAGCCTGCTACGCTCGAGGGCGGGCTGTCCCTGAGGTTGCAGGCTGGGTGTCCCCAAGTTCATAGGCAGGGTGTCCCCAAGCTCCTGGAGCTCAAAGGCAGGGCGTTCCTGAGCTTGCAGGCAGGGCGTCCCTAAGCTCGAAGTCAGGGTACCCTCAAGGTGGCCGAGCTCACGGGCAGAGTGTCCCTAAGCTCCTGCTGGAACGCAGGGTGGCCCCGAGCACACCAGGCTCACAAGCAGGACATCCCCGAGCTCGGGGCAGTGGAAAGTCAGTGAGGCTCCCCCAGAGCTCTGCCCCACACCTGGGGGGAATGTGGGGCCACGCAGCCCCCCCACCCCAAGCCGGACAGCCACATTTCCCTGCCCCAGGCGGTTGCCCTCCCACTCCAGGCCACAGGCCCACAGCGACTGATGTAGGGGGGACCCAGCAAAGCCACCCCACTGCCCTGCGTCCCTGCCCCACAGCCACAACCCCTCTGGGGGACTCAGGTGTGGGCATCCCCCAAGCGCCCCCCACCCCAGGTGAGTCTGTGGGGCGGCAGGGAGATGGGGCAGGGCCGTGGGCACCCCCTGTGGGGCAGGGCTGGCCCCGGGGGGGAGGAAACGTGTGTGCTGGGGCAGGGCTGCCCCACGGAAGGGTTGGGACTGGAGGGGCCTGGGCTGCCCCACAGGAGTAGTGGGGCCTGGCTGCTGTGGGCTGCCCCATAGGGACCACAGGGAGACCCCAAAGGCCTGAGCTGCCCCATAGGGAACCCACGGGGAGACCCCAAAGGCCTGAGCTGCCCCATTGGGACCACAAAGGGACCACACAAAGCGACCCCACTGGCCTGATCTGCCCCACAGGGACCACACAGGGACCCCGCGAAGACCCCACAGGTCTCAGCTGCCCCACAGGGACCTTGTGAGCCCGAGCTGCCCCACAGGGACCCCACAGGCCTCAGCTGCCCCACAGGGACCCCAGGAGCCTAAGGCTGCCCCACAGGGACCACAGAGGAACCCCACAAAGCCCCCACAAGGCACCCACAGGGACCCCAGGAGCCTAAGCTGCCCCACGGGGACCACAGAGGAACCCCACAAGGGCCCCACAGGCCTCAGCTGCCCCACAGGGCACCCACAGAAGCCTGAGCTGCCCCACAGGCCCCCCCGGGGCCCGGGCCGCCCCCCATGCGCGGCAGGGCCCGGCCGCTCAGGCCCGCCCCACGGCGAGGGGCCTTGTGCCGCCCCGCGGGTCCCGTAGCGGCGGGGGCCGCCCCGCATGGCCCCGCGGGGCCTGTGCCGCCCCCCCTCTCCCCCGCCTCCTCCACGCGTGGCCGGGGCCCACAACCCGCCGCCTCCCCGCCAGGCCCCGCCGGCCCGGAGGCTCCGCGTCCCTATTCCCCCAGCCGGGGCGAGAAGGAGTGGGACTGGGGTGGTGGTGGTGGGGGGGTGTCCCCGCCATTGATCTCCCACCCGCGCCGTGTCGCCGGGGCTTTGTGCCGCCGCCGCCTTCCCCGCACTACATGTCCCGGCAGCCCCGGCCGCGACCC